GGCTCACACTCCTGTTCCTGAGAGGGGCCGACAGCTGCTGGGTCTTCCTGACTTGGCTGCCCGCATTTCCTCATCATCTCAACACTCCCCTGCAACCTCCTAGTCTTATAAAGTTTAATCAAACTCATGAAAAATAGTCTTCAGATGCAGTATGAATCCATAACAATACAATGCATTTTTGTGAAGCCCTTTTTTAATTGGGAACTACACAAGCGCCCCTTGTCCTGGTATTGTTACCAATGTGACAGAATTGAATGGTGAGCAGTTTGAAATAATTTCCTATGACAAATTACAGGAAGTTGGAGTGCCAGGTAATAGGAAGCTTTTTCTTCCGTCTGCCTTTAAGCACTTTAGTTAATGAACATATTTGTTTCCCCGTTTGTTATGGATTAAAGATGTAAGTGACTGAAATTACTATTCCATACCTCCTCAAATACTGATCCAAACACAGTTTAGTATTTAAAAACTTTTCATTTTATTTGTATTTCTATTCAAGTTTAACGAAACCATTGAACATTTCCAAGTGTGTTGCTGATGTTTCCTGGTCCAGTGAAATGTAAGTCATATCTTTCGCAAAAATACAAAGATTACCATTGAGATTACCTTTTTTTTGGTATTGTTAGTAATTTGTAATTGCAGTAGCAATGCACCAAACAGCGACTGTACAGCCACTTAATGATCTGCAGATAGGAGCATTTATGCAAGTCATGTGAGCCTTGTGATCTGTGCAAACAGGAAGACGAACACTTATGACTTTATCAGTTCCAGGACTCTACTTCACTGGCATTCTTGTCTTTATCCAACGGCTATAAAAATGAGCTATAAAAATAATGAAGTACAACAAGCCTGGAATAAAAAAAAGGGCCTGCATAGTCAACTCAAAAAATGAATGCTGACAAAGATGACATAGCATGTTGTTCTTCCATATACCCCAGTAGGAAAATATTTGAACTCAGAATCACTTTAGACAATAACTTAGTTTAACTGTAAATCTTCACATGTAATGGTTTCATTATGATTCAAAAACCTTTTAGCACCACATTCTCAACTTGAAACTTCAACCTGAGAGATGTGAGACAAAACTAGATTGATTCGCTCCAAGGCAACACAGCTGCATAACTACACAAAGGAAACACTGGAGTAAGTTCTTTATATACAGCTCAGCAGGTTTTGAACCCTGCTAGTAACTTTATAATCGCTGTGACTTTGTCTCATGGTTGCACAAGGCTTGCTTATTGCACAAGCATTGTACATACCAACTCTCATATTTTTCCAAAGCAGAATATTTACCAATAACAGCCACATCCTGTGGGTAAAGACATCTACCAACTTAAAGCTGCATAAGGGGTGAAACATAGATCACAGACACAGATAGTGTGGTTGACCTGAACTGTTGTGTGAACACAGACTCTTCTCTGGGAAGGCTTGCTGACTGATATTCGTACTCAATGTTTCATTCAAAGGATCAGCTCAGCCCCCCAACCCCCACCACCATCAAGCCAGGATGCATTCCTGCTTGCTGGGAATTCTTCACATTCCTCATATTTATCTTTAATTGAGGTCTGAAAACATTGAGGTCAAAGATGCTGATCACTTGTGAAGGGTCTCGGTTAGACCGAACATATTTCATTCACAATGCTTTGTGGTCATGCTACGCTTAAAACACTGGGTCAATTTACGAGGGTCGTACTTTAATCTCCATGCATCTGGAATAATAAGATTAGGCTCTTTCAAATTAATGATTTAAAGGTCTGCACACTTATCACAGTGAACGCACCAGATCTCCTCAGACAGGCTTACACACATAAGAGCATCCTGAAAGCATTGTCTTTTTCTTTGTCTGGCAATAGGAAGAAACCTGACACAACCACTAGAATATGAAGTTTGAAAGGTACAATCATCTGTAACCCACTTTCAGACAGATATTTAGGTCATCCAAAATCCACCTTGATAAACTGTCTTCAAGATTCTATCTCAAGAGATTTCTAACTGAATCCATAAAGGAGGAAGTCTGTGCAACATGTGGTTTTCCTTGCAACACACACAATGAGGTAGATTGCTTTTTTTCCTGACACAGCCCCGCCCTGGGAAAGTCTGGAGAAATGCAATTAGACAGCCTCATCCCTTTCCCCTCCAAGGATGATCCTTTCCTCAACAGTGATATACTCCCCAGTTAGTGGTTTACTTGCAACTGACTTAACAACTGATGCAAAAATTGAGAACATTACAAATCTATTTTTGGAAACAATGAAACATGCATGGGCAAAAATGGCAACACCTACACAGCAAGTTAAAAAAATCTTCAGATAATATTCAACTGTCATCAGAAACAAAGAAATAAAAGATATGAGCCCTACAGCATGATTTCTCATTTGAGCTTCGCAATGTATGACTCACACAACTGGTGGGACTTAAACCAGAAGAAATTACATCTCATCCTTAACTTCAATGAACTCATAACACTGTCCATGTTGTAATGTTGCTGCAGCAACTGGAAATAATTACAGGCCTATCCATTCATTCATGCCACTGTTGGAAACATCTGATCACAATTCAGAGTGTCCAGAGAGCCTGGATCATCTCACCCCAACCTAGCTGAGATTGCACAGGACATTTTCATGTGTCAGGACTTGTTGACAAGCACCGCGTTCATATTAGAGTGATCTGCAACAATGTTTCTATATTTATAGCTGCATTAATTGATTTTCTAGCCGCTCTGGGGCAGAGGAACTTCCAGCTCTGGCATATTATCATCCTGTAATGTTGCTGTGTTAGCTAAAATTTGGCCTACACCTCTGGCAACATTAACATTATTTTCAGTCATGAGTCTACTTGATGAATGTTAAGTCCAACAGTCACTCTCCTTTTAGCTCTGGGTTGATCTCTGGCTGTTTATATGCTCTACATTCTATACTGCCTAGTTACTCGTACTGGGCAGGTAGCTTACAGTGGGTTTATTTGAGCTTTTTGCTGAAAGGGTTTAGGGTTATTTAGGGTTTAACTGGAGTGTACACATGGTAAATGTGCATCTAAAAAGGCTAAAAATATCAGTAGAGCAGTAGAGTTAGCTGTTAATTATCAGTGTGTACATCAGAGCAAGCCACATCTTTCAGTTTATTGTTAATATGAAAAATATTGGCATAAATTTAAGCTCCATTACAGTGTGTTTATGACATTTCAACTATGTTTGACTGTACACACTTTAACTCTGCAGGTATGTGGACATATCTAAACTGATAAGAGGTGTGACTTATTTTCTTTGACATCGCACACCCATCATCGCTATTAGTTTGAAGGAAAAACTCAAACCCAATATAACTGGGTAAGGACTAACTATCACAGATTTCAGTGAAATATTTTACAATGTGTAACCAAATGTGACAGTATTTATGAACTGTTACCCAAGGGAAAAAAAAGTACCTTCACAAAACACTGACGTCACTTAAGTATGTTTAGGTAGACAAGGCCTTCTGTCAACATATTTAAGTTAAACATAAACAGAATACACTTTTTTAAAAACTTCAACATAATTTCCCTCAGAGGAAGGAAACCTTGCTGGTGTGGAAATATAAATAACACACACAATGGGGTACAGACCTACAGTTTCAGAGTGGAAAAACAAAGGCATAGAATGAAGTGTACTGGCACGAGGTGGTTCTGGACCTAAAACCTACTAAATAAATTGGGGGGCAATGGGAAGCAGTCCTTCTAAACTAAACGAAGCATTCCTTTGCTGACAGGACACGCCAGAGCAATTGTCCAAATTTATCACCCAACAACTGCCAGGGTCTGTGTGCTTGACCAGGCTGACATAGAGGAGAACACACAGGAACCAAGCCTGCCTTAATATAGCTTATATCTCTTCCTTTCCATAAAAGCCACAATATCTGTCATGTGCCTCATATCTCTTTGTTTCCTTTGTAGGAAAGTTGCCATGTGTTGGTTGGTGTTTTCAACAAAAAACTTTAGGAAATGCAATTGACATTTCCTTAGTTGGTGCTATGATACTTATATTGTGGCTCTGAGGAACACCATTGTGGTTAGGTGGTGTTTGATTCTAAAAATAATGTAAACTGCAGCTGCATGTGGTCAAGGGGTGCAAGTATTTTAGGGTTTTCAAAAAAAAAGACAAGTCTCCAAATGCATAATTAATAGGCCCAAAGCCATTTGAATTGCTCTGTGTGGGTAGAAAAACATCATGGGTACCAACTAGATATAATAATGTATGAGCACTTGCCATAGTGCATCAAGAAGCATTTGGTTCGGTTTGTTTGCAGGTTCTTTCAAAATTTTGTGAACAACTGTGGTTAAATCGTGTGGTTTCACATTCTGGGCTATGAACTGCTGACATCTGACATATAATATTTACGATTTGTCGTTGTATTTGTATCAATGGTCAATCATTTTTCCAACTGTCCCATGCAACAATATGAACATCTGTTTGGAAGCTTTGGTTGCAAATCATATGGAGGGCGATGGACTGTCCCGCCTACTCTATGGTTTAGTAAACTGAGGTTCGTGTAATCAAACATTTTCTGTATTTGAAGTTCAATCAGATTCTAATACACAGAAACATTCAAAGACAATCAGAGCAGTCGTTGTGTGAGGTAAACTGGATTCAACGTTAAAGTAATTCACTGTAGCCTATCCCAGTACCTGGCTCATACATACCAGCGGCAGTGCCTACGTCAAGATATGGCAGTCAGCTACAGAGGAGGCAGGGCATATTTTCAAGGGGAAAAGGGCGTAACTGCCCTTTGCCCCAAGTCAAACAACTTCCAGAAACTTTGATAGCATCCATACATCTTTCCTTCCATTAAATACATAAGACACAGGTAGCTACTTTCGTATTCTAGTAAGTATTGTGTTTCAATGCTCTCAAGTAAGTTAATTTGAGAGCGGACGGTGTGGGACAAAGAGCGACAGGTAGCCTACAACATACGCCTAGTTTAGGCAGACTTTACCCGAAGCAATTTTACCAAGGGAAGAAAGTTACTCACCCGCACAAGGTTGCTAACAGCCGCCTGCACGGCAGCAACCGGCGCCGACAGATCTGGGATAGCTTTCCCGTCAACTTCACCTTCTTCGTGCATTATCACCAGATGGGATATCTGCTGAGCCACCGGCTCCAGAATACTTTCTATCGTCTTCGTGTGAAAAACCGGCATGGTGACAACTTTAGACCACTATCCAAGAGAAAAAAGATTCGCTCTCCAACCACTTAAGGCAGTTCACTCCCAAACTCCCGCTACGAAAGCCTAAAAAGCAATCCCGGTAGCTTTTTTCCAGGACAGTTTCACTCTCCGGTGTGAGAACTACAACTACTCCCGTCAAACCATAAACGTGAAAAGCTCCCAGCCAGAGAGTGGGCGCGAGGAACCTAAACGTCAACGAACTATGTCCGCCCTCTAGCCAATCAACAAGCGGGAAGGCAAGTTCCCTGGTGTCCGATTGGTCGATCGGGGTGCCGCTCTGTGTCAGCACCTCCCGCGTCCACACAGGCAAGTTTGCTCGAAATCCGAGTGCTCACTAAATTACGTAATAGATCCTCATGCCCTAAAAAGGGAAATATGTGTCTACTGTTTGTGAGGAGTAGATTCCAGCAGCTGTAAATTACATAGTCAGACAAGTTCTTTTGGCACTTACAGAGCAGAAACTGGAGCTGTGACTGATAGGATATCAGATTTCAAACCACCCTGAAAACATACATCATAAAAGAGGATATTCCTAATAAACTTCAATCTCATCACTGTAGATACACCTATAAGAGAGGATAATGACATTTATTTTTGTAATCTACTCATCACAAAATAGTCAATTACAATCTACAGTGTATGAACATGTATTTCAGTTTCATCACAGCACTGTGAATGTCTTGTGGAGTCATTTTGCCAATTGCAGTGATCCAAAATTACTTTACCACTTATTATAAATAACACCAGCCCTGCGCAGTTGTTGACAAACTCAGGACAAAGCTTTGTCAAAAGTGTCCCAAACCAACATGGCACATTTTTTCAATTCCTTCTCTGTCCCATCCTCACACCCTGAAATAACAATATTTGAGGATTGAAAACCAACTGCCAAGCAAAGCAGCTAAGGAATTCCCACAGAATCCCAAGAGGGGCTGCAAGGCAGCAGCCCATTCCCTAAAAAGGAAGAGTCCAAAATGAAAGAATCAAGGAAGTCACTTTGTTTGAACTCTTTTGTAAACATGCAAGGGGCTGATATGCTACCACAGGCACTTATGTGGCTACAAAGGCAAAACTGCTTACAGGATGTAATTTCTCACTTTAATATATATATATATATATTTATTTTATGTCTATCCATTTTATCTTGATAAAACAAACACAAAATCAGCAGACACCAGCACCAAATATGTTTCATCCTGTAACTCCCAAAAGTCAGATAAATGGACTATCTTGGAGAGTCCATCCTGAATATAGACATCAAAGATGGCCTGTCGTTTCCTCAGTTCTCAGGTTACTGACAGGGCCGTCCCGTGTGTCCATGCTGGAATGTGAGCAAGGCTACTCAAGATGGGTGGTCTACACCTTCCCCTACTGTCCAACTTCCCTACTGATAAAACGATCTGGCAGGTTCCCGCTGCTTCTGCTGCATGGAGGTGGGATCACATCCTGAAAAAGCAGTGCAAACAGTGTGTGTACTCAACAACATAAAGCTTGGATTTGTAGTGTACAAAACACACACAGATAGACAACCAACTCACAACCAAAAGAGTAATTCAATATGACAGTCTGTTGTCAGAATTCACCAAGTTTTTAGTGAAAGGTTTCTCACCCCAGACCAGTTGATAGAGGCTTTTATATCTTTTAGTTTCCTTTTATAATCTCTACAAAAGTCAGCAGTGGGTGCCATCCTGTGGTTGAAAGGAGTAAATACAGTCAGTGGAATGGGAACATGGAAACATTGAAAGCTTCACATGTCACTCATTCATTCAGTTTCTTTATTCCAGTTATTTTTTGCCCAAGAGTCACTTTTCAATCTGCAGGAAGTTGTTAAAAAAAAATTGCAGCTCAAAGTGAAAATCAGCTCAGAATTGCTGAGGGCACATCCTGCTGTTACACTGATTTTCTCTGACTTGAATCATGTGAGTGACTCTTCTGGCCAAATAATGACAGAACTGGTCAATTTCATTTGACAGTGGATGGAGAACACCTGTTGGGACTTCAATGATTGGGGCTGCAGCCAAAAGTACATCATCCCTCTAAGATCCTTCTTTAGAAATGTACAAACATGTTTTATTAAATGACAAATATAGAGGACTGAATAATATGGCTAAATATCTAAAAAGTAAGAGCATGATCCTGCCTTAAATTCTAAAGTTAGTTTATGTATTGCTGCATTACATTTATTGATTGCATCAATTAAAGATGCTGATAAATGACTTTAAGGTACCAGTATGAATTTGTTATCCTATAGTTGGCCTGTTATGGTGGTACAGTGAATTGTACTTCATCATGATGTAGTCAGTATAGCATAAATATGGAAGCTAGCTTCTGATGCTGTTTAGATTTCTTGTGGAGAGTATCCTTTAATCCCCCAAATTCACATGTGGGCCCAAATCAAATGTTCTATCAGGACTTACCTTTTAAATCTAAGACATGGTAAATACCTGTCATCACTTTGACCTGCAGTATATTAGATAGACTGCAAAAAAAAAAGACGATGCAAATCTGTATCTACTAAATCTGTGTATATAATAAAGTTTGGAGAACACCTAAGTGTTGCATGGATTTCACTGGTAATGTCTCTTTTATTTCAGGACTTTGACTAGGATGCGTCTCCTACATCCCACATATTGTCATGTGCAAGATAAAGTATGGCTAAATAGTGAAACATGAACCCCAGTCTTCAGTGTCAAAGTACTGTGCTTTTTACACCCACCCAACCAGACCTATGTGCTTTTTAAAATTTTATTTATTTTGACATGTCAGGTGTAAGTAATTAAATTAACAATGCCTGAATTCGATCTAGCTGTTTTAGTTTCAGGGACCTGGCAAAGTGCATGTTGAGTCACTATTGTATAATGTCATGTCACTTTCATCTTTGGAGCTAAATCAACCAATGAATGAAATCTGTGCATCATTACATTTATTCCAAAACATATTAGTGTCAGACGGGACGAGACATATAAGCAGGTTTTAAAGGAATAGTTCAATACTTTGGGAAATTCAGCTATTCTCTCTGAGAATGAGCTGAGAAAATCATTATCCATTTCACGCCTGTTAAATATGGACTTAGAGCCTGCATGTATTTAGCCTATCTTAGCAGAAAGACTGGAAGCAAGGGGAATTAGCTTCAATGTTCAAAAATAGCCACTTTATAAAGAGGGGCAAGGCTGATCTGACACTGATAATAGACCAGAGGCTAAGCTTAGTGGACATCATGTCCAGAAAATGTGAAAAAGAGAGAGTGAAAATAGAGAAGAAATGTATTTATGGCAATGATGATTATGTGTGGTAAAATACTTTGGCAGTTTTTTTCTCAAAGCCCCATTGCTGTTTTCAACCTTAATAGAAACTGTGTTTAGCTTTGCTACACAGTTGTATAAGATGGCAAAATGAAAGTTCTGGCCCAACATATGTCTATGTCGTCGGCCTAAATCTGGCTGGTAACCTTCGGTATTGACTGACAGCCAGAAGATTTTCCGTGTGTGGGCCAGAATTGGTCCAGATGTAGAAGTCGCATCTTACAATCATGCTGAATATATGGGCCAGATTTGGCCAGTGGAACCAGGTGTATACTGGGCCTGAAGAAAACAAGCATGTGGCCCAAGTATGGGCCGGATTTATTTTGCCATATGCACTCACAGTGAAGGCACAAGAATAAGAGCAGGACAATGAATGTAATATGTGGAGGTGACATATTTTGTAATATGTTAAAAGACCACATGAGGGCACAAATGTTTGCAAATAGAGAAGTCTTTGTGTAACACTTAATATAGACAGATGACATATGTATAGTTTCAGATACGATTTCTTTTACGTTTTGAAATGTAGAAGTTTCTGAAGTATATGAGAATGATTTTTATTTTGATTGATTAATGCTTTGACTTATATTTGATTCTCTTGAGTTGATAACTGTTTTTTAGCATAATTAATTAGTTTTGGTCAATTCTTTTTCTGTCAGTTCTGTGTGTTTGTAACACTGATATAATGTCTCTTGATCTCATATGATATACATGATATACCTGGCTGACATTATATGTAAATTATGAAATTTAGTCTATTTTTGATAATAAAAGATTAAAGAAGATTAAAGACCTTTTCTGTCATATTAACTACATGGTCATCTCTCTGATTTAGTATGTCATAAATTCTAGAGAGTCAGCAAGAAAGCACTGCTCGAGGTGTCTGACTCAGTACCATTGTCATGTCCTGTGACAACGGCAGCTTCAAAAATGTGGAGAGGACTCACAAAACTACTCTCCACCTTTAATACTCTCATGAAAAACTAACATCACTGGATGACCGCAACATTATCATACTGTAGTCACGTGCTTCGAGCTGACTTCAATTTGACTTGGTTTGTTTTGTAGTTACATCTGTTGGTTAACTGGTAGGGAGGTGGTTATCTTCTGAGAGAAAATGTACCAGATGCTATGTGTATAGCTAACAGATGAATATATCGTATTGTATATTGAACATGAGCATCATGTGCAGCGCCTCATTGGCTACAGCATGCTTTTATGGAAACTACCATTAAGCTCTAAGATGCTGTCATTTTGACTTCTGATTCTTCAGAGTCTATGTCTTTTACATCCTTTAATAAACCTTTTTTGTATGTCAGCATTATATATTTATTATCTGTGTAAATGTGGGATCTTGAACAGAATTTTGCACAGTGCCTTTTTGCATAACAGACACTTGGAACAATAAACTAACAACTGAACAGAGAGCTGGCAAATTGTTGCTGAATCAAGGAGAGCCTGAGTTTGGACAAGTGTGAGTTCACTCAGCCATCTCATATGGAACTGGTTTATTTTGTTAATACAGAATATGGACTGAACTAATTCGCGTTTGGGCTTTTGGATCATCACTTCACACAAGCATACACCAAGTGAAGCTCAGCAAAAATCTCAACATCTAAACTACATTTAGTCCAACACCAGTTATTATGTCATCTATATGATTTAAGCACATTAAAGTCAAAACAATTTATGGCTTGGAGCAGACATTGCTTATATAATGTTAAACTGCAGCATCAATAAACAGTAGCTCACCATTTGTATATACTGTAGCTTGAGGTTGGCTTTGAGTGCAGCTGAGTGTATAGCGGCAAATAAACAGTTGAACAGGAGCACAGCAGTTGTGTGTAACTAGGA